TCACGTGCCATCCCCGTCGCTGATGTAGATGTAGTTTCCGTAGACCAAGATCGTTGGTATCAGTCGATGATCCAAAGAGTTCGTCAAAATCCCCTGAAATTTTCACATTGGAGAGTAGTCGATGATAGATTGTATAAATATGTTGCTACGGGATTTCTAGCCCTTGGAGACGTGAATGACAACTGGAAACTTGTCGTACCCAAAAACGAACGACGTAGTATACTTGTACGTATGCATGAACCCCCTACTGCTGGCCATATGGGAATTTTGAAGACTTTTAAAAGAGTGAGTGAACAGTATTTTTGGCCCAAGTTACGAGCGGACGTGGCGAAATTTGTACGAGCGTGTCATGTATGTGCGGCTTATAAATCTGAACAGAGTGGTCCAAAAGGATTGATGACTCCTCAACCGAGAGCTTTGCGTCCGTGGGAGATTATTGCAACCGACTTGATTGGACCCCTACCTCGATCGACTTCTGGATATCGTTTTATTTTGGTTGTCGTTGATTTGTTAAGTAAGTTTACTCTTACATTCCCCTTACGTTCTTCGACAGCGAAGATTGTATCGAAAAAACTTGAGGAAGGAGTATTTTTGTTATTCGGTGTACCTAGGTTGATTTTGTGTGATAATGGTCCGCAGTATTCCTCGAAGTTGTTTAAGGATTTAATGGAAGAATACGGTGTGGCTATAAGGTACAATGCGCTTTATCACCCTCAAGCTAATCCTACCGAACGTTACAATCGGACTTTAAAAACGATGATTTCGATGTATGTTTCAAATGATCACCGGAAGTGGGAGAGTAATCTAACGAAAGTGACGTGCGCAATCCGGACGGCCTATAACGAAACGATTAAACAAACCCCTTATTTCGTTAACTTCGGGAGACATATGGTGTTGAATGGTAAAAATTTTGAGTCCAAAAAAGGGAATGATATGGATTATAACACCCAGTTGAAACCTGATCCAGATGAGCGACAGAAAGAACTAATTGCGCTGTTCAAAGATGTCCGTAAACGTTTAGATGAGGCAGCTAAGAAGAATGAGCGGATATATAACTTGCGTCGGCGATGTGTCGAGTTGTTACCCAATCAAATCGTCTGGCGTAAAAATTATGTGTCTTCGGATGCTGCTCAGTATTACACAAGTAAACTAGCACCTCGTTGGGTTGGACCTTTCCGTATTAAGAAGCGAGTATCACCATGGACGTACTTGTTAATGGACGAAAATGGATGCGACGTTGGTATTTGGAACATTAAAGACCTGAAACCGGCCGATGTTGTTAACAATACCTAGATATATTTTTGGATATTACCCTGTCAGACCAAGGAGCTTGATTCTTGCTATCGTACACTTGGAGAAACGATACAGTCTGTTTATACCTTATTACAATTCCATCCTTTGTACTTAGTTGGGTTTTAGAGAGTTGTTTGTTCTGTAATCGGTTTAAATGCTTATTTTTGTATTCGAATTTGACTTTATAATGCTGATTTGGGTTTAATGTGCCCTGTGATTGGGGGCAGGAGAATACCATCACCCGAGGATTATCCAGCGGGAAGGTAAGAACCCTTCAACTTGGCCACTTTTGGCCGTTTTTACTAACTTTTGGTTGGAGTTGGTGCAGTTAGTGTTTATTGTCCGTTGAAGTTCCGTGGAATGAATGGTTTCTTTTAGTGTTTCTTTGCTCTGTCAGGATTGTTAGGTGAGTTCAGCAGGAGTAGTCGTGCCTTAGGGACCACGTTACGTGAGTACGAGACTCTTGGCTGTCCTTTCAGACCGCACCTGCAAACTGCAGAACGATTGGTTTTGTTTGTTTTCGTTGACTTTGATTCCTCGGTACTTTCGTGGATCTAGACCGATTCCATTTTTAGTCGCATGATTTAGGCCTATGGGTTTGGGTTTTCTTTTTCTGGTTTTTAGTCTGGCGTGGACTACATCACGCTGGGTGCCCTTCAGGCTCCCGGGCAACGTCCCGAAAATCCCTTTTTTTGTTTTGTTACGGGCCTGAGTAGCGGTGGGTGTGGGGACGGTACAGTGGGTCTCCCTTAGATGGGAAATGCCTTTTCACGGTTCGGTGTTGGGGGGTGAATTACTTGCCGGTAGCGACCTACGGGAGACTATCACTATGCGGGGGTTCACTACTGGTATCGGACCAAGATGGTCTGACATGACTCACTGTGGATGTTCCTACAGTACCATGACTCAAGTAACCATTCGCTTCTTTCCCTTGTTTTCTTTACGGAGGTCTCGAAACCGAAACTGACTTATCGTTGTGGTTGCTGAGGGAGAAAGGACCTTTGTACGCTGTATGGTGTGAGGTCCAGGAGTGTGTAACCACGACCGTGATTTAACATCTTCTCATGGAGGTCGCCTCTGGAAGTGTACATTGAGACTCTTTTCAACAGCGGCAGCAGCGGGAGTTGGTCGACGCAGAGAGACCGAAGTATTTTAGTTTGGTCCTACTATAATGGACTGGGTTTCGTTCTCCATCCCCGAGTTTCATCTCGAAATGTGTTGTTGGGGTGGTTGCCAACACACAGGGTTCCCGGGAAAAGTCCCGATTTTTTTTGTTGTCTTAAGTCCCAAGTTTCGACTTGAAAATTTGGGTGTAGTGTTGGAAAATTTATTTTGAGGGTATATTTTTTGTGGTTATCTCAGTCTTGACGTCTAAATTGCTCTCTTGGTTGAATTTTCTATTTTCTTTTATATTATCTTTTTTTTGCACAGGAGGTTGACAAGTGTTATACTTTGGAGCGTAGATATTTTTTTTGTTTGAAGTGTATTTTCTTACTCTGATTACTAACTAGCGTTAGTGAAAATTCACCTGGTGAATTTTCTTGAAGTAAGGGGGGTCTGTAACGTTCTCAAATCTCCCCACAATAATCATTAATTCCTTTACACATTTTAAATTCACTAATTGATTGTATTGAAGATTTGTTTACCTTTTGGAATAACTAGAGTTAATGATTCTACGAGTACGTTCGTTTGTCCAACAATAAATTCTTCTGTTTATTGTTATTGACATTTGTCTTTGTGTTCTTGACGAGTTAGTGTTCTGAGTAATTGACACTTCTAAAGGGTTATTTAGGTTGTTCCGTGGTTCCGCTGGTTCCATTTTGATTTTGGTCTTTGAGGCAGACAGACTCGTGGTATTACATTTTTAGTAATCGGGAAACATCTCGGATTTTCTACGGTCTGTCTGAATATATTTAACTTCGTTAGTTGTTTGGAGCCTTGTGCTATTTGATTTGCCGTATATTTTTGGCGTTAACGTGAGTTAAATCCGTTATTCGGGATCTATATCCTCTTGACCAAATCAAACACGTTTCGATCCCCGACTTAGAACACTAGGGGTAAGTCTTGTCTTCCTTCCTGTTGCAATCGTTAATTGTGTGTTTCTTAGGATTAATTTTGATTACTACTATTACTTTGGGTTGAATTTTCCAATCCGTATTTTCTTGGATCTTCCGTGAGGTTATTTGTATTTAACTGTCTTCCGATTGGACTGGGACCGATTCCTGCGTCACTTTGACCGCCTGTAGTTGCGATAGTTGATTCGACAAAGTTCACCTGTTGTCCCGAGTATCTGGATTCTTATGTGATAACCAGACCGTCACCAGGAACCTTGGGAACTTCACCACGTGGGATCCGTCCGCCATTTTCGGAGAAGTTTTATTACAATTATTTATTTAAATTTAATTCATCGTAGTTCAATTTCTTTCATTTTTCTTATTGTTAAATTCATCTTCACGTATAGTATCAATTTTATTATCGTTAAATTTTAATTCAGTACGATAGTTAATTAATTTTCTTTTGTTAATAACGAAAATTCGACTCGCCTTTACCGTTTTGTAATTACTCTGTGAATTATAGATATTCCTTTGGATCTGGACCCCAACTGATCGATCAATTGGAGGATCCAGCTGTATCGCCATAGTATATTGACTTCGCAGAACTTCGTTTTACTTTGAACCATCCGGTTGACCGGATCACCATCGGTAAGTCGAATTTGATTTATACCGTGACTGCTATCTCGTACTGTTTGGAATTTCTTAATAATTATCTTTCTATTTCTTAATTTTCTCTCAATTTTTTTTTGTATTGTATTCTATTATTTCTTTCGCTATTGTATTAAATTAAATACCTATAGAGTTACGAAAAGTGTGTACTATCAATTCCTTGTTAAGTTGGGAGTTGATATAAGATTATATTGTTAAGGGCACTTGGTCAACTTAACTGGCGCCCGTTTTATATTTAAATATCATTTAATTTCGACTCACTCCCGTCTCATCTGAGTATAGCCGCGTGCCCGGATGTTCAAGTCATCCACCTAAGTAACAAAAATATATATTTACCGTTTTATTTTTGTAGTTTTATTAAAGGGGTAAAATTTTAACGTTATAAGTAAACGAACAGATTATACTAGTTTTATACTATGTATAGAGTAACAGGTAAAAAATTCAATTTATGGAGAATTACGGAAGTATAAGAATAATACAGGGCGAGTTTTTTCGATTTTTAGTCCAGGTATCTCGGAAACTGTAGAAGATAGAAAAAAGTTTAAGTGGCTAAAAATTATGAGGCAGTTTTATGAGACATATTCAAAACCTGTTTCAGTTTAGCAAAATATGACACCTGTCAAAGTATTTAAATATATCTAATTGGGCGACGAAATATGTAGGTAGACCCCAAATATTATGGTAGACCTTATACTAGACCGGCGCAAAACATTTTCCAACTCCAAGCAGGTTCTCGGAAAAAAATAATAACACAAAAAGGATTAATAATTTCGCAAATTCCGAAGGAATTTTAAAAATAATTTACCAAATATTTTACCATTCTCTTATCCCATTGAGAGTTACTCATTCTTTGTAGTATTACAGCAATCCATTCAATATAACAGTTACATTATCTGTTACTCTATATTCTAATAAATTGAACACCGTTGCTTTGATACAAATTAAATTGAACTACAGTCGTTATGGTTACAAAATACGAGTAAATTTGAATGCTATAATCGATTTAACAGGCTCATCGGGGTATCGCGAGCCCGAGCATCATGGCTGGTAAAGGGAAGAAGAAAAAACCGAAGAACGGCGGAAAAAACGGCGAATCGAACAAGAAAAAAGCCTCCAAGCCGAAGAGAACGGGAGGAAGAAAGGGAAGATCGAAAAGTGCGAGATGTAATGTGGACGTGTTCACAGAAATCGCGATGGAAAACGCCTATACAACCTGCCATAACGTGCAGGATTTGCTACGATGGAGAGGGTTCCCTTGGCCTGATGCACAGAAGAAAAAGAAAAAGGGGAAAAAGTAATTTGTTGTATTAATAATTCGTCTACTTGAGTGTGCGTAATAATTAATATGTAGTAGGTTAATAGTGAATAAAAATACTGCAAACTTGTGGCTGAGGTGAATTAATTTTGGTACTTATATAGGGTGTCCCATTTAGAATAGAGATATTTATGCGCTGTGATAAGTAAACATTGGGGTTCAACAAAGGGTAGAAATTGTGAAATTTTATTTTGTTTTTATAAGGAACATTTAATAGTCACACCCTGTGACAATAAAGTACTTGGAAATTCTGATTTAAATTACCAGCACTTAATATTTTTAATTATTTCAAGTTTCTGTATGTAGGTAACACTGCTCTTAAATAGCATGCAAAAAATTAGAGAGTTCTTAATCAGTTTGGTTGTATTAAGCTCATTGAATCAGTTCATCTTAGTAGTAATTTGTTCCGGACGGTCTTTGACCACTTCAACCAATGATAAGGCGAGAAAATGAAGGAAATTGAGTTTGAAAATGATCATGCTAGTGTATTAGAAAAGTAGCACTTGACTTCAACATCTCCCTTTAAACAGCTCGTTGGATTTTGCCCAATCAATCGGACATCCTGCGCTTTGAGGCACGGCTCGTTACGATAGAGCTGAGTTTTTTTCAAAAACGATATCGTCAACTGGTCGATGCAGATGATAACTCGTGTAAAGTAGCATTGACCAGCCGCCTTACTCACCAGATTTAGCGTCGTGCGATTTTTATGTTTCCCAAGCTCAAATCGCCACTTCAGTGATCTCGTTTTGACTCCATAAATGATATCAAAGAAAATTCGCAGAAGCTAAAAGGCGTACCAAAAAGGGCCTATAAATGTTTCGATGATTGGAAAGGGCCTCTGACTATGTGTATCGCTTCAAAAGGAGCATATTTTGAAGGAGATTCAAGAAAAATTACTTTTTTGTAGTACTAAAGGAGGTAATGTTAATTGGTTACCTAGATCGTAGGATTTGACACCATTAGATTTCTTTCTGGAGGTGATTTTAATAGTGATATTCAGATTTTAATGGTGATATTCACAACAACATCGCGAATATTTCTAATGAAATTGAAAATTTTATTGAAAGGATAAATGTGCATCAAAAGTTTATCGGATGTTTGTATCAAATCCTTAAAGTTACTCCAATAGTTTTCTATTTAAATTCAAAATAAATACGTGTTGAATGCTTAAAAGTTTTTTATTAACTCATGTATATTTAATTGTTTTCAATACAAATTTTTGTAGAAACTCGCTAAATGTATCTACTATTAATTGACTTGATTCGTTACATTCGTTATCTAAAATTTTTCTAAAATAACATAGTATAATTCGCATACTACAACAGTATAACTATTAAATAATACAGGTCTAATGATTTTCAAATTTTAGGTGTAGTTTAATGTAGCAGGTATACAAACATTTTCCCGGTTGAACAACCGTAAAAGTAACCCAGGAATGTATCATTTTTCATGGACACCCTGTATACTATTCGTAAAATAACTCCAAAAGAAAACATAATTAATAAACAGTAATTAATGAACATCCAAAAATGTTATCAAGATTTGAGCAGAGTAGATTCTCGTGGGAAAAAAATCACCCTTTTGAGTGAAATATGTTTTAGTCAACAAAAAGTTTCATGCAAAGAGTTTTAAACTACATAAATTAAAAGATAAAAAACGGACATCGCTGTCAATATGTCGACATTTTACAAAAGATGAATTTAAAATGTTCTATCTTTTTAAATGTATCCCTTTACTCATACATATTGGTAACTAAATAAGTAGAATGCGAAAGCCATTTGGTCAAAACTGTTTGCACCAATCTTACTGAAATTAATCTCTTCTATATGTAGAAGCATTAATATCGTGTTTAGATTGGTTTTATTTAATAATACAAGACCAAATGATTAGCACATTCTAGTAACATTAAAAAGATTTTCAAATATTTTTCAAACGTTGCTAGTTACAATTTTAGTACATCTAAATTAATAATAAATAGTGTTTTTTTGTACTTTAACATATTATTAACAGTATTATACACGACGGTCCGATTTTTTAAATATCTAAAATGTCTTAAAAAATTGTACATATATTTACAAATCGAGTTGAAGTTTATAATGAAAAAATTAATACGCTTCCAATAGCAGCTTTGTATTTGATTAAAATGTAACATATAGAAAACATCTTAAAATTTGAAATAAGTGCATTAAATAAAAATTAATAATAATAATAATAATAATAATAATAATAATAATAATAAAAATTACTAAAATAACATTTTTCCGTAAAACGAATCCTTTCGATTCCTTACTAATAGCATAAAATAACCGAATAATACAGATTTTTCATTTCGAACAAAACAAACGTATCGAATTAATACGTTCAAAACATCGCCCGTTTCCGTTTACTGTCTTTTCACGTTTTTGAAGAACCATTCCGTAAACTTTTTCAATTGTTGTACAGCCGATTGCGCCTGATCTTGCAACTGCCTGTTCTCCTCTCTGAGCCTTCGAACTTCCTCTTCCAACGACAGTCTACGACGCGTCTCCAAGCTCACTTTAGATTCCAATTCGGCCACGTGGTTCTGAAGCTCCGGCACGCTGGTACTCGAACTCACCCTGCAACACATACAATAATAATAATATCATGTAAATATCTGATTCCCAATATTTTGATTTTCTAATAAGGCAAGTATTAAACTGAAACCTGCAGAATTGTAAATGATTCTGGGCATTTCTAAATTGTTCTATTGTTCTAGACAGGTCTAATTGGTTCTGAAGCGTTCTAAATCTTTCTGGGGCAGTTTTGAATGGTTCTGGACAAGTCTGATTCGTCATGAAGCATAATGAATGATTCTGGACAGTTCTAAACAGTTCTAATTTCGTTCAGAAGCGTTCTAAACAACTATAGACAATCATTAATCATTCTAGACACTTGTAAATCATTGTAGGCACTTGTAAATTATTCTAGGCAGTTCTAAGCTGTTCTCGATAGTCCCGATTCGTCTTGAAATAATCTAAATGATTCTGGGCAGTTCTAGAAAGTTCTAATTTCGTACAGAGAATGTACACAAGTGATTCTCGGCAGTCCTAAAATATTCTATGGAGTACTAAATGATTCTTGATAATCCTGATTCGTCCAGAAGCAATTTAAATGATTTTGAACAGTTTTAATTCTAAATCATTCTCGACAATTCCAAATCATTGTAGGTACTGGTAAATAATCCTAGACAGTTCTAAACTTACATGGATAATCCCGATTGGTCCTGAAGCGATCTAAATCATTCTGGACAGATCTAGACATTACTACTTTTTTGTTTAGAAACCACAATAGACAGTCCTAAATCATTCTATGCAGTTATAAATCATTCGAGACCGTTCTAAATGGTTCTTGACAATTCTGATTCGTCCCGAATTGATTCTGGACAATTCTAAGTTCTTGCGTGCAAAATTGTTCTAGATGGTACTAATTCGTTCAGAAGCCTTGTAAATCATTCTGAACAGTTCTAAATCATTTTGGACAATTCTAAATCATTCTGGACAGTTTTACATCATTTTAGACATTTCTAAATATATCTCGATAATCATCATTCGTCCTGAAGCAATCAAAATGATTCTGGACAATTATAAATTGTACTAGACAGTTCTAAATGATTCTGAATAGTTCTAAATTATTCTAGACAGTTCAAATTCGTTCAGAAGCGTTCTAAATCATTGTAGACAGTGTAAGTATAAGTTCCAAACTTTTTGCGACACCCTTTCTAAAAATAAAACAAAGTCTTAACAACTTACGTGGAACTAATAGAAGCGTCGATGACACCGTCGCCGTCCCAGCATCTATTCGGTTCCAAATCCTTGTTATCGCACGATCCGGTTTGATTTATGAACGAAGTGGCAGTGTCCACTAAACTCGGCCAATCGCCGTCTTCGGGCAACGGGATATCGTCCGGAAAACTGATGGTGTTCTTCAGCTTGGTTAAAGGCACGTGCGAAGCACCGACGTCGTCTTGAATCCTTTTGAATTCCACCGATAGAGGACTCGAAGTGGTACTAGCGTTAGAAATAACGGTGGCCGGTCGCGCCATCGTCAAAATCACCTCCGGCTGCGACTTGTGTATGCTCAACGTATTGTTCAAGTTCTCCCTCGAATGGTTTTTCGGTTCCTTTTCGATTTTTTGGTCGATCGACGAGTCTATGTTATCGGGTTGATCAAGCGGAGCAGCTCCTCTTGGAAATTCGACAAATTGGCGCTGTTCCTGTTGGAGCCGCGCGACGTAACGCCCGGTCGCAGCTTCGCCTCGTTCATCAGAGACCTAGGGCTCTGGTTGCGATTGGTGTAATTCTGCACGTGTTTCATAGCCCGCCGGGTCCTCGGCGAGCCGCCGTTGGACAGTTCCTCTTCGCTGCCGATCATGTTCATCCTCTCGCTGATGGAGCTGTCGGTCGAATGGCTCTCGTTGACGTTCATCCGCGAGAAATCGTTGTTCAAAGCACTGCACCGCGGCGTAGTCGGAGCGCGACGGGCGCATGCTCATGTAGTCGCTCTCCAGGCGCAGCCGTTCGTTGTGCTGCTTCAGCAGATTGTTCTTCTCGCTTTTGTATATCTCCATGTCGGTGGTGCTGTTGTGCAAAGCGGCCGTCAGCGGTTGCGACGCGTTGAGGTTCTGCAGCGGCAGCGAGTTGCTCGCGTGCAACTTGTTGTGCTGCTGGGGCGCGTAGTGGTTGGTTTGGGGCACGTGCAGGTGCACCGCCTGGTGGGAGTTGTTCCGCTTGGGCGTGCTCGGGAAGGTGTTGTTGGCGTGGTGGAAGCGGGAGACGTGCTGCTGATGGTTCGTCTTGTGCGGCACCGGCGGCGCCTCGAATTCCTGCAACAAGTCGTACCATTTGTCGTCAGAGTGGCCACTTGATGAACTGGTTAATGTACCCTGGAAATTTTTAAAATCGGTAAGATTATGTATTAATTCAAACATCGAAGGAGTCGCTAAAACAGGAAGAATTTTACCTATGTGTAATTGATTTTTGATTGCATATCTACTAGATGAAAAAATGGGTAAAACATATGGGTAAACGCAAATGTGTTTGCAATATGGTCAATTCTGCAAGTTGAACACATACATGCCAAGCATTGTGCCCAACTTTTAAAAATTAATACACAAAATAGAGTAAGCTTAATACCTGCAGAATTTAATTTAATATTAACAAGTGATGATACAATATGTTAAAAAGCAGAATTAAATAATCGAAAAAAATATATATTCAGTCAAAATTCAACGTTTGTGTATAAACTTATTATTACTTTCTTATAGTAGGTTGGTAGGCTCTGTGTCAAGAAGCACAGTTGCCGTTGTCATCCGATCGCTACTTTTAATTTTCAAATTCTTCTTCATTTTTCTAGTTTCATAGTTCATAAATGACACAATTTCAGCTCTAAATAATTCAGATTCAGAAGTTTTCTCAGAAATTTCACTATGTACTCTTTTAATGGTCAATTGTACACTAAATTTTTTACTCGAGTTGTTAAATATATTTCAGATGATAAAGAAATTGTGCACACACATTTTGACAATTGACAATTTTAGAAAATTCTTAGATTTTGTAAACTATTGCATTGATACTTGTTTTGGCACCAACTGTAAGTTGTTTTTGTTGCACTCGTAGACCATACTGCGTACAACTTTGCAATTATCTGTATCTAAAATAAACTCTAAAATAGAAATAGAAGAAAAAGAGATTGAATAAAGGGATCTTTGTGATCAACTATGTGCTAAACGTTGTACTACATATTGAGTCCTAACATCACCACTTATTCTTAAAGTTTAAGTATACATAAATAATGTTTAAATAATACTTAAAACGTTGAAAAAAATAAGCGGTGCGTATGATTCTGAGTCAAGCAAATAGTGATATGTGATTCTACTAACTTCTATTCTATAACAATTAACTTACTATTTGCGACTATTTAACTAGGAAGCGAGACAATCACATACAAAACTATCCTCCTAGCTTACTTACAACTAGTCCCATTAGCTATGAGCTAGGCACACAAGTTAAAACTCGTTTACTATTATTATCAATTCTAATAGATCGATTAAAAATTAGTAATAAAATTTATATCCATAAAGAAATGTCATTGAAAAGGTGATTGAAATGAGTACAAAGTGTCACGAAATTACTGCTACAAAATTTCAACACAGATTCTTCAAAGTACTAAAGACTAGACTCGAATTTTGTCACATCAATTTCGAAACAACCTGCATAACACCATCAACCGCCTCACCAACATACCTAAAAAACCAATTCGAATATAAACCTCGCTTACCTCTATATTATTTTGAAATCTAGCCTCAGGCCCGTGAAACGACTTGCTACTGCTGCCGGTACCGTAACCGGAGCTGTTACTGCTCCTCGGCGGCGAGAAGCTCCTCTCGTAGATCTTCCGGTGATTGCCGGACACGGCCTGCTGCATCTGCGGCGCCCTCCTGCCCTTGCTCTCCTCGGTCGTGTTGTCGTAGTCGCCCTCGTAGTGGGCCTCGTTGTACTTGCAGTTCTGCAAGGTGCAGCCCTTACGAGGCGTGCCGTCGCGCAACGGCGGTATCACAGTCAGCGTAACGGTTATGGACGTTTTCAAAAGATCAACCTATTTGAATTGTATAAAGTTAGTGTTGAAGGGAGCTAATGGAACTCCTACAGAGTGGCTGGAGTGATGCACATGCTAGGGCAGCTGCAGAACTACCAAGTAGTAGGTTAATAAATAAGATAGCAGGACTCCTAATAGGGTACTGCTGTCTGAGAAAGCACCTCTACCATCTAGGTTAGAGGGAAGTCCCCTTATAGGTGAATCTTTGGAGTTCCTGTGATGGACCCTGGAAATATAAACAGGGAAGGATCTTCATCGAGGGATGCGTACAAGGAGTACAATGCCTGCGTACAGCAGAAATGGTCAAGATCAAGGTTCACCTGCGCCTTTAGTTAGCAGAAGCAAGGGAAGCTAATGGAGTACAAGAGAGGCTGATGTCCAGCAGGGGACGAGACAAGCTGCTATGTGATGATGAATGGAGTACTTACCATTTGATCGTAGGTGAGAGTGGCCACGGCGACTTTGCAGATCTCCACCAAGCGGGAATTCTGTCGCAAACCCGCCTGCCAAGCCTGCCCGGCGCTTTCTACTAGCGTGACGATCCCGTCTGGTTGGACGTGGAAGCCCAGCTGGCCCATAATGTTGCGGCTGAAATTTTTGCTTCAGAAGAATAAAACGATAATAAATCATCAATAGGTATGTACAACAAAACAATCCTTTTACCTACGTGATACACAAAAGATGAACGTTTAGATAAAAAAAAATAGTAAGCGAATTGAACTCACGTTATGGTTAATTCTTGGGCGACGTGCCCGAACGTAACAGCCTTCAATCTATCCATAATCTCCATCAATTCGTCCCTATCGCCGTGGGAATCGCGCATGTGGATGGTCATGCATTCGCCTTGGTGATGGTACAGTCTGAGGCTGTTGGTCTGCGGCGACCAGCCCAAGATCGACTTGCAAGGCGTTACGAATACGATCTGGCGCGAATGTTCTTCGATGAGAACGAACGTGTCGGAGGAGATGCCGAGGAAACATTCGATTTGTTGCCCTTGGCCGCTATCATCTAATAATACTTGCCATAAAATGGCACCTCTTTGGCATAGGTCCGGTATGAACCGGGGACGGATTTTTTCCTTCTTTTTGCTGCTGAATATCGCTGGAAAATAATTAATCGGTGAACAGGAGGGCGTCGGGTCGATAAGGCAATTCGATTTCAGTGTTAGATGTTGCTGTGTAGATTTTTACCGTGTCGTAAAGTAGATGTTTGTATGCTCACACTCAAAAATGTTTTGCATAAAAGAATAAATATTTAATACAACGAAATATTTGTAAAATTACTTATCAAAATTAGTTTCTTTATCATTTATCAAAAGGCATGAAAATCATTTAAAATTAACAATATGTAAAAAGTATTTACCAAAAGAAATTTCAAATAATAAATGGCCAGAGGCATTTCAATTAATATGCAAAACATTTTTGAGTATGTGTATTTACAATACCTTTAACGCAGTACATTTTATTTATACTTATCAACGAAAAATTGGACTATTTTTGGGCGTATACACAAGCATAAAAAGAAACACGAGCGCAACTAAAAATTTCTATGCATCAACATGCTCATTTTCAGTTATCTCGTTCAACAAAAAAAACTAAAATCAACCGAATTGTCTTAAGGTTAGTAAAGTAAGTGGTAAAAAAAGCTTCATGCATGAGCGGTGAGAAAACGTAAAATTATAAATTGCATAAATAGCGCGATAACAACGAAAAATTTACTAGCAAAACAATACCTACTAATAGGTGCATTTCAATGAAAAACTATGCTTGTTAAACATAATTGAACAAATTTTCATTTCAAAAAATAAAGTTCGTACGTTTTAAAACGACAATAGGTTTGTTCCTACAACAGTCAGAAATAATCGGTGATCGTCAGGAGTCTGCGCAGTAATAATTTAGGCGTTCCAACAAACTCCACAGACATCTCTGATTCTGACTTGGTTAACAATTTATTGTTCCAACAGTTCAAGGGACTGGTTTTGTGATAGTCAGAAAAATTTGCTGATAGTACAGAGATTTAGAATCCGGCGCAAGCGCATTTTCAATTTGGGTTTAATTTGTATTTCTGAATATAGGTTAATTATTAGGTTATGTTGCTTGTTGTTTTTCTTTGAGACTTGGTGAATATGTAATAAATGTAAAGACTGTTCCATCAAGAAATCGGAAATTTGATTACACCATTCAATCATAAACCGCGCATGCGAAATAGAAGAGTCAGAAACTTATTGGTAACAAATCAGTGACTTTTTGTAGGAACAAACCTATTGATATCACGAGTCAGCCTTTTGTAACTATGATAGATACATTTTATTTAAGGTTATGTTTACTTTCAATGTTTACAAATTAAAATAAAAATCACAAGTAGTAGAATTTAAATATGATCATCGGGAAGAGATACGAATTCGCGATAAACGCGATAAACGTACAGAAAACGCACTAAAAACTATCTAAAATAGACAAAAACACAAAAAGTACTCGTAAACTTAAAAACAAAAAAGCAAAAATCGCTGGGAATCATTTGGAATGGTCCAGAATCATTTAGAACTGTCACGAGTCATTTAGAACGTTCCAGAACCAATTAGAACTGTATAAAATCATTTAGAACGCTCCAGAATCAATTAGAACTGTCTAGAACCATTTAGAACGCTCCCGAAGAATTTAGAATGCTCCAGAACCATTTAGAATTCTGTATAACCATTTAGAACATTCCAGAACCATTTAGAACTGTCTAGAATCATTAAGAACGCTCCCCAACCATTTAGAATGCTCCAGAACCATTTAAAACGCTCCAGAATCATTTAGAATGCTCCAAAATTAATTAGAACAGTCCAGATTCATTTCGAACAGTCTAGAACCGTTTGGAACGCTTCCGAACCATTTAGCATGCTCTAGATCAATCTAGAAGCTCCAGAATCATTTAAAACTGTCGAGAATCATTTAGAACGCTCCAGAAAAAGCAAAAGTCGCTGGGAAAGTCACAAAAACAACAAATTCTAGTCAAAACGGGTCAACTACAAAGAGCGGAATATTGAGACTAACGATATGGCAACAACGCATCGTTAATTCAACCGCGCTAAGTAAAATTCCTCTAGTCAAATGGCGGTATTAACATTGACACAAGGTAAATTTTAAACTGCGTGGAAATTACTAAAATGACGACATTGTCATAATAAATCGTACGAACTTTTAGTTTATCGAATTTGTAGAGTAAAAATGGGATTGTTACACATAAAATTACCCTAAAAAACGAGTTTACATTTTCCCACTCGTCACGGCGTGTTTTCGATGCTGTTAAAATTTGTAATACCTAAGAGCAAATCAATAAACTCACAAAATTTTTGTCCCGTATCTATGATAGTGGACGTTGAATACTTTTGAACGAGATCCTTGAGGTACTCCTTGCGCGTGCGCGTTGCCATTGCGACGAATTTGTCGGAGCGATGGACGGCATTCTCGGCGTTCACCACTTTGGCGAGCAGGAATTCCGCGAACACTTTACCTTTGGGAAATATGGCGCCTTCCTTGATCGGCGGCCCGAACACTTCCACATCTTTCGATCTGCTTACGGCCACCTGAACATACATTAGAAAACTCAAATTTGGTAAATATGACCAAGAAGAATACACTCAAATTTACACCAGCTATAGTTAGATGAAAATCATTTTGTGGCAACTCTACGGTTGAGTGGAGAGTTTGTAGAAGTTATACAGAGTGTTCCTAAACATCGTACACTCGTGCACATCCGAAAGGGGGTAATTCTTTACAGGAGCTATAAGGAAAAAAACGAAAAAAAAAATGAAATTTCAACACCCTGTAGATTGGAAACGAAGCGTATATGTATTTGAACTTTTAGTCAAGAAATAAGCCAAAGATTTATCCCCTTTCGGAAGTGCACGATGTTTAGAAACACCCTGTATAGGGTTTCTCAATAGGAATTGGGAGTCAATAGGCCTGAGAGTACGTTAGAAGATATAGGTTAATATTTATTCTTATTTCGTACAACAGTAGCATAGTAGAACTTAACTCTTACTTAATTACAATATTTCTTAATTGTTTTTGCTCCAGTAAGAACTATTTTAACTATTTAGAAGTGTTCAAAATTATTTAGGATTGTCCAAAATCATTTTAAAACATTTTAGAATTGACTACTACCATTTGAAACAGTTCAGACCTATCTTAGAATTATTTAGATCTGTTCAAACTTATTTAGGATTGTCCAGAGAACTGTTCAAAATCGCTTAGAATTGTCCAGAATCATTTTGAACCATTTTAGAAATGACTACTACCATTTGAAACAGTTTAAAAGTATCTTAGAACATTTTAGAACTGTTCAAAATCGCTTAGAATTGTCCAGAATCATTTTGAACCATTTAAGAAATGAATTTTAACCATTTGAAACAATTTAGGGCTATCTAATGGTAAGAGCTACTCTACTCTAGACAACACTACTCTACTGTATTCTACTCTGCTCTACTCTATACTCTACTCTGAATCTATTCTACTCTGAATCTACTCAACTCTGAATGTACTCTACTCTGAATCTACTCTATTCTGAATCTACTATATTCTAAATCTACTCTATTCTGAATCCACTCTTCAATAAATCTACTCAACTCTGAATCTATTCTACTCTAAATCTATTCTTCTCTGAATATATTTTACTTTGAATCTACTCTGCTCGAAATACACTCTACTCTGAGTCTACTATATTCTCAATCTACTCTACTTTAAATCTACTCTATTCTGAATCTACTCTACTCTGAATCTACTTTACCCTATGGTGAAACAAGAGTGTACGAATCAAGAAACCACCTTACAGCCGATAATTAGTTGTATACAATTGTATAAAACATTCAAAACATGTATAAATCAAAAAGAAAGTACCAAAGAATGTTAATAGCACAACAAAAACAAAACCTTACCTTATAATGCGTATTCTCCGTACAGGGATTGATGGCTTGCACTAAGATAAAAACGTGTTGGAACTGAGATCGTATGCCTTTCGGAGTGAAAGGTCGAGCACCAGGTTCTTGGAAGACGATGGTCACGATGTCGTTGCCGATGTGCCGCTTCCTGAGCAACTGTTGCCGATTGTTGGGCGTAAATGGAAGCATAGTCGATACGTGAAACATGATTTCGCAATCTTGGTATTGAGCGTAAATCGAATGCGAGCCAGTTGAATCAGCTGGAAGGAAATTCGTTAACGGTTACGTTAATATTTTCGCGAATTTTTCGTGTATTTTTCTATATTGTAACGCAAAAAAATATATAATAGTTCGAATGTAACGCGATGCATGGTACATGAGTAATTATTATTAATTATTAGTAGCGACAAAATAGATTTTTTTTGATGACTAATACTTTCAAGTAAACGGATATCGTTTGTATCAATTAGCAATAAATGAAATATGCTCACTTTTATTATCCAATCCAGCTCTGTATTTATCGAAACCGTTTAATTTCACGGTCTTCCCGATAGTCTCTAAGAATTCCAAGAAAGCGGGCCCCGCTTTTTCGTTGTTGTACATCTCCTCTTCGGTGTTCTGGCCGGCCTTGCAATACATCACGCCGACTTTGTAGTGGTTGGTCAGGCCTTGCTCGTCGAGCTTCAGGATCTGCTCGACCACGTGCTGGTTCTGGATGCCCAATTTGAGGGAGCCCAGCTGAATTTCGGGCACGACGTATTCGAGGACTTCTTTGGTATTCAGCGTTTTCGGGTTGCTCGACGGCTTTATGTTGGGCGTGGCGTCTTCCAAAACGGCGCCGCGCAGGGTTTGGAGCTCCGACGTTCGCACAATAACCCTGTAAGATTATCGCCATTAAATGTGAGATTCTATACGAAATATAACTGGAGAGAAAGAGGAAATAAAAGAGGAATAGGCAGACCACAAGAAATATGGATAGATGACATCAAAGAGATCGGGGGATAACAATGGATAAGAAGTAATTAGAAGAGGCCTACGTCCAGCAGGCTCAGGAAGAAGAAAAAAAAGGCAAAATATAATAGTTTTCTAATATTAACTTAGTAAAGTTCGTACGTTTTAAAACGACAATGACGTCAAGAGCCTGGATGTTGCAACGTTGCCGGGTTGTAATTCAAATCCTTTATATGACCGACACATTTAATTTAAGGTTTACTTTCAATGTTTACAAATTAAAAAAGTAACTAATAGTAGAATTTAAAAATGAAAAAGAGCATCGGAAGGAGATACGAATTCGCGAGTAATAATTTAAATGAATATGCACTGAAATGAAAATTACACTAAAAACTCACGAAAAACACATAGCAAAACGCGGGAGAAATTGATAAACGTACAAAAACAACACGAAAAACTATCTAAAACGGACGAAAAACACAAAAACTACTCGTAAACTTGAAAAAAAAGGACAATGCAAAAATCTCTAGGAATCATTTAGAACTCCCAGAATCATTTAGAATGGTTCTAAACGAATTAGAACTGTCTAGAATTATTTAGAATGGTTCTGAACGAATTAGAACTGTCTAGAATCATTTAGATCGTTCCCGAACTATTTAGAAAGCTCCAGCATCATTTAGAAATCTCCAGAGTAATTTTGAACGCTCCATAGTCATTTAGCAGTGTCCAGAATCATTTACACCGCTCCAAAATAATTTTGAAAGCTCCAGAATCATTTAGAACGCTCCAGAAGCCTTGAAAAATGTCTAGAACAATTTAAAATGCTCCCGAACCATTTAAAACTCTCTAGAACCATTTAGAACGCTCCAGAAAAAGACAAAAGTCGCTGGGAAAGTCACAAAAACAACAATTGTAGTCAAAACCTGTCGACTACAAATAATGGAATTTTGAGACTAACGATATCTCAACACATCAACTGTTATTCAACTGCGCTAGGTAAAATTCCCCTAGCCAAATGGCAGAATTACCATTGGCAGTAGGGAAATTTTGAAGTGCGTGGAAATTACAAAAATAACGTCCATCGTCATTTAAAATCGTACGAACTTTATCTTTTACTGCGGCCAAAGTTATCGAAAAAATTAAGAGGTAAAAAATGGTCAAAATGTCCAATTCATTAAACTATTGGACATAAAAAATAAGGGGAATTAAATGACCCTCTAAAAATTTGATGAGGATTTCAAGAAGGTTCATTGAATACTTTTGAAGTTATTGAAAAATAATAGATTTTCATTTAGCCCTTTAAACAAGCTATAAATTAATTTGTACAGCATTTTGACTACCATTTTGATAACCCCAGAATATGTTGTATAACTTACGACCTACGTCTAGCTCGTTGCACGAGCTTCGCTCTTAACTATAAGAAAGATATCTAACAACACGAGTGGAAAGTCGTTTGAAACTAACGTATCTACTTACCTATATTGGTATTGCATAAGTGTCGTCGTTAATTGATTCTCAGGATGTACAACTTTTTCTCGTTTTATCGATATAACCACGGGATCATCGGTTTGCTCGTCCATACCAAACCAGTTCTGGTGATCTGAAAAGGAAATGGTAACAGACATTAACGCATTGCAGTAGCAACGAGATTTTTACAATCGTTAATCTCGCCTGTATAATGAAAAAATCTACAGCTAATATTAATCTATTCACTCTTCTTGTACGCACGTAGCATCTAAACAACCGAAAGATCGTTCGGAATTTACAATGCACATAAAAGACCGGTTAAATTCAATACAACCACGCGACGTTGTGTAATATACAGCACGGAAAAGTGCATAAATTAATTGCACATGGTACGCCCATGGTGTGTTATTGATACTGATGCTGTAATGCGTACGAAGACATTGACATTGATACTGCGTCAAGTAAAAGTTATTTTTGTGTAAATCAAAGACATCCATCCTATCTCGGTGTATCTGCCAAGGTTTCAACCGCGAGCGCGGTTCGTTTTTTTTTGCATTTACCTACCGACCGTTACGCTACACGGGCTTTTTTCTAAAAAAGTTCGCCGGAGAGCAACGCACAGTGACACTGACACGATTTTAGAAACGCTATGGATTCGGGAACGGACGGGGAACATCCCAAATTAACGCCACGAAATTATAGGGCTTCTAAATCAAGAATCAAATGTTTCCTGAAGGAATTTACTACTCGCTGATTAACCATCAAGTTTTAAAAATGTTGGTTACATATTCATTAAGTGATCAAAGTTTTTTAACTAGAACTAGTGTAAAGTTCGTGCGCTTTAAAATGAGAATGACGTCACGAGCCAGCCTGTTGCAATGTTGCCAGGTTGCAATTTAAATTCTTTATATGACAGATAGATTTAACGGTTTACTTTCAACGTTCAAACAAATTTAAAAAAAAGTCACAAATAGTATAATTTAAACATGATACAAAACATTAGGAGGAGATATGAACTAGCGAGTATATTTAACAAAATATTATAATATACACGTCGGAAAATTACACTAAAAACTCATGAAAAACACATAGAAAAACGCGGGAGAAGTTGATAAACGTACAGAAACCACACAAAAAACTTTCAAAATAGACGAAAAACGCAAAAACTACTCGTAAACTTAAAAAACAAAAAATCAAAAATCGCGGCGAATTATTGAGACCGATCCAGAATCATTTACAACAGTCTAGAATCATTTAGAACGCTCCATAATCATTTGGAACTGTCTATAATAATTTAAATCGCCGCAGAATCATTTAAAACGCTCCAGAATAATTTAGAACTGTCTATAACCATTTAGAACGCTCTAGAATCACTTAGAATTGTTTAGGGCTATTTAGAGCGCTCTAAACATATTTAAAACTGTCTATAACAATTTAGAACGCTCCGGAACACTTCAGACAAAGACAAAAATCGCTCCAGAATCATTTAAAACTGTCTAGAATCATTTAGAACGCTCCAGAAAAAGCAAAAGTCGCTGGGAAAGTCACAAAAACAACAAATTCTAGTCAAAACGGGTCAACTACAAAGAGCGGAATATTGGCAACAATTCAACTGCACTAAGTAAAATTCCCCTAGTCAAATGGCAGAATTAACATTGGCAGTAGGGAAATTTTGAACTGTGTGGAAATTACTAAAAATGACGGGTTTGTCATTTTAAAACGTACGAACTTTAATAATATATTTATCGTATGCAGGGTAAATAGAGGTCTATTAATAGAGGCTAATTTCTTCTCAAACATTAATCAGGTAAACAAGTCGCGTACAAAAATAAAATACATAAATCTATTTTTGCAACGCGGGGATACGACGTTAATGGCGTAAAAAAGTGCAGCAATTAGACCGTCTTGTTCCTTAGGTCAAAGGTTATTCCGCTTCGTACATTAAAGTAATCAACCAATAAAACTTCTAAATTACCGCAATTTTTATTTCGGAAAAATACTGCTATTTTTAGAAATAACTTCATAAAGACGAGATTAACTCTAATTCTAATGGAGCTATTTAAAATGAAGAGTGAACAAATACAAATTAAACTTACCTTGGCCTACGAAGTATTTCCTGTAGTAGAGGGCCCCTTGATCGACGTTTTCGATCGGTCGCGGAAACCTTTGGTACGGACAAGTGGAATGTCTCCAATGCGTTTCACCGGGCTGAAACTCCAATACGGCCACTCCGTACGCCAAAGGCGGTCTGTGAAGAGGTTTCCGAGTGTTTCCGTTTTGCAACCTATGAGTAACGTTACTTAGAAAATCGAGATTTAACCTAACGAACACCAGTTCCGTTAAACTACTCGTAAAATTGAATGTATCATGTTAAAAACTTTCACGAGTATGTGGTGTACATTTCGTCGAGTAATTACCTTGTCAAGCTGACTATTCGTTCCTCCTCGCCGCCGATTTCGTTCCTAAAAAACGGGCAACTTTCGACTAAATCGTTGCTTTGACCGTCGCCAAGATCGTCTTCCGATTCGCCGTCAGGAGTTGATGATCTGGCCATCACCGAAGCCGCCGAAGCACCTGTAGCTAATATAGAAATCCATCAAAATACAATTAAAACTACCTCGTCAATATAACCCAAAAACATAGGTACTAGCTTAACAGAATAGAACATATTACACTAGAATTATCCAAGAAGAAGAATTATCCAAGTTTCAAGTAGTACATTTAAACATTACATAAGAAACGATTCGCAAGGAGGCGGGAATTTGGCTAAGAAATCAGTATCTCAGTATCTAAGTAGGTTAAAAAAGATCGCAGGACTCCTAACAGGGCACTGCTGTCTGGGAAAGCACCTCTATAACCTAGGTTTAGAGGAAAATCCCCTTAGCAGGGGCTCTTTGAAGGCTCGTTGAAGAATCTTTGAAGTCCCTGTTAACAGGCATCCATTGAGAAGGACTGACTCCTTCATCAATGGGCCCGTCGGAGGCCTCAGCGCCGGAACCTTGGCTTGAGCATGTCTTGGTCAAGGTTCGCCTGCGCCTTTAGTCAATAGTTTAGTACACTCAAAACCAAGCAGGAATTTTTCGAAACTCATTCCAGAATTACTCACAAAAGCAAGATTGAGTTGAGGAAAATCACCCAATATGTTGAACTGGGTCTTACAAAAACTGAAAAATTAGGGTCCTACTTCCAAGCAAATTTTGGAAGGGAATCTGTGGTGCCTACCTTTACTCGATACTTGTTTCTTAACGGGGTAATTTTGAATATTATGACGTGGTTAACATGAATTCATTACAAAGCTTGCAGTCACTTAATAAGAATTCCGGCCAATTTAATAAGATTAATGAAGTACTTATCATTGCAAGTAGAAACAACATCAGTTAGAGGAATTAAATTTTAACGCATTGTATATTATTGCATTATAGAATGAAATTATAGTTTGCCATAAAATAAAACAGAATGAAAAAATGTCTTAGAAAGTCTGGAAATCTAAAAAACAATGGTTGCTTTTAATTTTACCGAAACTGTTTTCTTTCAGGTTATTTGGTCTTTGGGCTATTCTATCTTTGGACTATTCTGTCTTTGGACTATTTTGCCTTTCGGCTATTTTGTCTTTCGGTTATTTTGTCTTTGGGCTATTTTGTGATTGGGATATTTAGTCTTTGGACTATTTTATCGGGTCACTATAAAAAAGATACTTTTGGACAATCATTTAAATAAAAAATAATAATAAAAGCTCTTACCTGTATTTCGTCTTTTGGCCAACAAACTCTTCCTCAATCTAACGGAATAATTTAAATTGGTCGTCAACGATTGGCAATCGTAATGGGCGAAGGCTCTTCGTCTCGCAATCTCTTCGGATTCGGCGGAAATGCACACCGAAGAGCTGCTGTTGATCGCGCTCTCCTCCATCGTCTGTTTGGAATTTTTGAGATTGTTGGGAGCGGCGCCGTTGGCCCAAAAGTGTTTTTTCAATTTATTTTTGTATTTGGGACTTTGTACGGATTCATCGGAATTGCCGTCCACCTTCCCGCGCAGGTACTCGGACGGACCGGGAGATCGTTGATCCGTACTCACCAAACCTACGACGAAAATAATAAGCGAGTTAATTTTAAATCGAACCGGATATCGGTGCGATGTGTGTTTGTTTACCTGCAGGTCGATAGTCCTGCAGCATTTTAAAAAACTCATTATTCGCCGGTATCCCACTAGGCCTATCGATAACGTCTATGGACCCGTGGCTACCGTATTCCCTTTTCAACAAAGGGGAACTGGAATTCGACGGCCGACCGTTGTGGTCCAATAGCTCTAGACTCGAGTTGCTCCGACAGAGATTATCCGGCACCAAATATTGGGGTCTTCGAGTCGCTTGATTGTGATGATGTCTATCGTTGAATGAAGACCTGAGCCGATTAATAGACAACAATGTGGTAACAGTGAGTGCGTTTATACTAAGTGATACATCAGTGCAACAGTTATTATTTACATTTACATTTACACCCCTATGATATTATGAACAATTAAGAGAAATTACCACGCTAACCTGCTGTTGGTGGACAATCCAGCGTTGGTCCAAGCCCGATGGACATGGGTGTTGTAATAGTCGACGGCTAAGGCGGTTCTTTCACGGATGCGATTGCTGCCCCCGTGGTTACCAGGGGCGGAAGCGATTGAAGGTAGCGGCGCCCTAGGCGGCGCGGGCCCACATTCCTGCAGGCCGATCATCCCATCACGCTGCAAAAATAATCCGAAATTATCAAACAGTTCGTAACACTCAGCAAGCATGCCATTCTTTCCTCCCCATTCTCCTAAGATATGATTGTATTGTGTTTTGGGTGTCCATATTATTGGTCTTACAAGGTGAATCAAACCCGAATTCTAAGAGATACGCAATTAACTATTGTTTGTGAGTAAATGAAAGTTGTGACAAAAGTTATAGGGCGAAGAATACAAGTACCTACGTAATAATAGCAGATACATTGAAACGAATGCATGCTTAAAAACCAGTGAACACTGTATGAACGCAATAATTCGTCGGCATGATTCACTTAAGTCGGTCGATCAAACGAACCAAACGAACCGCGAATCATCATAGCCTGATGATGACATTTCGTCGTAAATTTGTTTACAATAACGTAACGGCGCAGGTAGAGAACTAATTAGAATAATTCGCATAATAGTGGACGTTAGGTAGCGAGCGTGACTCATCTGATTAAAGGCGTGTGGGGGACAAATTAATCAAAATAATGGTGATATCTTGTCTATTAAGTGGATTGTGGATTGTGGTTTTTTTCATGCTCGGTCGGCCTAGTCACCGAAAACTCCTAACCAGTTTGTTAATTTGTTTAATTGCAGGCAGACAGTGTGGCGTTGTCCAACAAAAGCGAGAAGGGAATTTAAATTTCGTTGCATTAGTCATGGGTGGGTATCACTTTACCAATGTACCACATTAAAGTCCCGATCATTTGCATTTACAAACAGTAATTCAAGGAATTTAAGGCATGTTTTTAATATTGATCATTTTTCAGATGTGAAGGATTGATAGTTAAATTCAATTAAAATACTCCACTGAAAGAAGCACCAATAATATCCCAGTGTTCACTTGTGTCATAGTTAGGTTTTTTTGCTCTAATATTACCTAGGTAAGTACTCAAAAAAATCACCATCGAGTAGAGCAAGTGATAACGAAAGCGTTTTATCATCGATTAATCGGAATTCAATCTACTGAACGATGCGCCGCATATAAAAAAGAGAATAAAAGAAGGTGTTTGCCCTGCAGCCCAGGCACATGAAAAAGGTGATGTAACGCGGCATCTGTTTTCGTGAAAGAATCATATTTCGAAGCATCTGCTGGAGTTGCTGTATTTGTTGTTCTACATGCACAATCTGATCGGCTCCCATTTCGAGCTCATGCACACGCAGTTGTACGTAGATGCTAATTAAAATTGGATCTCTGCGAAGAATTGTGTTCGTGTTGCCGTCTCTAGAGACCGGTCGACTACACATAAACAGACTGTCGTGGTCACAATTTCATTTTTTTACGCTAATAAAGCAAATATTTAAACGCGTCTAATAATAGTTTTGTTTTAATGCGGACGGGACATTCCGGTCTTGGAAGTTTTGTTAGCGATAAATCTTGTACTTTGAGTTGCACCTTCTTCTGGTGTCTGGTATTTCGATGTTTGACATTTACGACGGGCTTTTGTTTGTGTTTAATTTTTGTTTAGGTACACTACATTTTTTATCTAATAACTCTTTATGTAAACATAATAGCTAACACATGTGAGAAAATAATTAAATACCAACCAGCAATAAAATTTAAGTAAATTGCTCTTTAAATAATATAATTCTCGATGTATTTCAAATCGGGAAAATTCTTGGTAAGCAGGTATGAGGAAAACAAATGTATAATCGCATACTTATGCATTGAAAAATCATAATAATTGGAATACTAAAGATGGTTGAACATAATTTGAAAATTATAGAGAATTGTTTTCCTTTCTAAAAGGAAATATACAGGGTGTTAATTAATTGAGTAATTAACCTCTTGGTTTTCGAGCTACAGGGTGTTACAGTTTTAGAAAATAATTTCAGATACTTTTATGATATTTTGTACACTTAATTTTAATTATTATAAGGAGCACTTTTGAGGCATATAATTTTTTTAAATAAAAAAAAATGTACGCCACTGATTTTTCTAAAAACCAAAATTATTATTAAAATCCTCATTTATTTTGGAGCAAATTCGGTCCGAAGTACTTACTAGATATTTACTAAAAAATAAAAACCAAATCAATTTTTTCTCAAGTTCATTGGTCATTTTTCATTTTTTCTCAAGTTCTTTTGATATTTTGTTGAAAATTTGATATAGGCCCACAACGCATGAAAACACTTTGGCAAATTTGGAATAATAAGAAATATCTGGAGTAATAAGAAAATGATGATAAAAAAGTATTTTTTTTCTAAAACTGTAACACCCTCTAGCTCGAAAACTAGGAGGTTTAGGACATAGTATATTGATATTAACTTTTATTCTTAAAATCATCCAAATATTCACATCCTGAAGTATCGGCACTCAATTAATTAACACGCTGTATAAAGAGATGATTCTACCATGATTAGTTATTGAATTATAAAGAAAAAGCTCGAGATAAAATATCTACTGTATTAATTTCTACTATTTTAGTAAAATTGAACAGTAGAGCTTAAAAACTTTTTTATGTAACCGTACGTACACAAAACATTCGAAAAAGTGCAGCCATAATAGTGATCAAATCCAATAAAAGTGAATTTATTATTATTAAGGTCAATAAGTCTAAAGATGTTATTTCTGTGCCTCTTAACGAAGATTGACATGGATATATTAAGAATATAAAGTTAATATACACCGGGTAGTCTTATAAGAAACTCTCATGTTTCTCAACTTCTACAAACAACTAAGAAAAAATCTCTTTAATATTTTCAAACAGAAAGTATGTTTAATTTCGACAAATTAGTCGTGTGAAAACAAACCGTTCGATTATTCTCCATTAAAGCAAATATTGACAAATAAACTTTCATATAGCCGTTACATTTCTCTTTATCGCGAATCTTTATTTACCCGCATATGTTACAATAGAAAATTTAAAAGATCAGTAACCCCGATTCATCGTCGTTTTCCACGTTCGTAACAAGTACAATAATTGCGAGATTAAAATTTATGAATTCATGCGAGATTACGAAGGGAAAACTTTTTAAATGCGAACGTGCATAGATGATCGAGAGACCGAAACCGATATGATTTTAATTTTTACGTTGTTTTTCTAGCGGAACAAAACGGCGAAAAATTGTTTTGCGGCAGTTACAATAACATAATGGTTTTGATGGAAGGATGGATATAAAAAATGTTGCGCAAACTATTCTCTCGAGTAGGAGATTTAGGTAGATCTGTTTTATTGTAGCATCTTGACGAGATTTTAAATGCTGTAATTTTAAAAGTTTTAAATCTGATAGGAGTAGCATCAGATAATATCAAATCGAGTGTCCCAAAAATTTCTCACTTGAAATGTGATGAATTACCTCCATAAAATAAAAGGGTTAATGATATGCGGTTTACCATTATTATGAATGGACTAGTTTTCATTCAAAAACCAGCAGAACGAGTTCGTACGATTTTCAGGAAGCAACTTGTTTATTTTACATAATTTTTTACTAGGTACGTTTATAACGCAATTGTAAACATCGAAAAATTGGAACGACCAATCGGCGTCCGCCTAAAATAGAATATGACTTTATTACTGTAAACATTTCAGGAATTCCAGCGTGTACGAATTTTTTTAAATTCAAGGAAACTAATTTAAATTAAAGTAGGTATAAAATATTATTGCGACAAACCTAGTATGTAGAAAACAATAATGGATTATTTTATGAATGACAATGTTCAAGAAGAGGCAATTAAAAATGAAGGTCGTAAAAAATTCAAAATGGAAATCATCATCATAATCATCATCAGGTGTAATGTTCGGATAAAAACTATTTATTATAGGGTAGATCGTAAATCACATGAAGCACTTGACTAAATATGGATGATTAAAAAAGCATAAAATTCTAAAGGATGCATTAAAGAGTTAAACAACCCATAAAAACATCAGGTGGGAAAAATTTATCAAAGAAAGGCGTGAAAGGAAGCAATATCAATGAACTAAATATTGTGGAAAAATAACCCCTAACAAATGGTGTAATTAAATTCATTTCAAAAATATTCATCAAAAGTCTGTAATATACTAGTTACATACTCGTAAAATAAAGCAAAAGTTATAACTTCAAACATTGTTTGACCCTTCTCCATATAATTCTGATCCTGCCATTGGTAAACAAAGAGCAGACAATCTAAACGGCGACTTCCAAACGCACCATTGTTAAATAATGCTTTATAGGCAATAAATTTTAATTTCTAATTGTTACAAGAGTTCAATACCGAAGTTGTTGGTAGCAGAGGAAACGCATTTCTCAGTTAATTTCGCAATAATTTGTAACATCCTCAATATAGTAACGAACACAATATTACGGATATCATTAGAAACACGAAAAAAATTGCAACCATACAAACGAGTCAACAATAAAACACCTTTTTTCCAAGGTGGTCACTTCCTTGGAATATTCGAGCACAGTTCAACTGGAATAGCTAAAGACCAAGGTCAAAATATACTCTTATGAATCTAAGTAAGCATTTTATTATTATAAGGTGTTCAATTAATTAGGGATTCGAAAGATCGGTTACGTCCTGATGATAGGTTCCTGTCGAACTGTATATGGGATCTATAAATACTATTGTTTCTTCCGCTATTACAGCTCAGAATTATAACTGGTACATTTCATATTGTCTAGTTGGTTGCATGGAATAATGAAAATGTTGCTTTACAAAACGGAGGCGTTCCGTATACCGTTCTTGCTCCAGCGGAAGTTTAAAAATACCTTGACGAATTAATTAGATATAACAGCCGCGTTGTCGAAGCATCGTACCTCGTATAAGACGCTCTTTTTTATTTTACGGACCGATTTACTAGTGAACCAGATCGCTGGAAGATTCTACGTCGACGAAAAGAAAGATCAATGGTGAGAATAAATCTCGTGATTATTTTTCCGTTCCGCGAAACGAGTTTGCTGATGATGGATACTGGGTTAGTGACGGGAAATCAAACTGGACGAATTATGGAAATTTAGTATTGAAATGTAACTTAATTAAC